AGAGAGAGAGAGAGAGAGAGAGAGGTTGGAAACTGGAACGGGCGTGGACGAGAAGAATGAAAAACGACTCGATGATCCCTTGGTGTCGGTGTTCGAAAAGAAAAAAGAAGAAGAGACGAAACGGGGTCTGGTAGCGTACAACGGACCTTGTGTTAGTCCCATCGTCGTTTCGCTTCGTATCTAATCTCTGTTTGCGAAGAAAGAGAGGAAGGCGCTACTATATTCTGGTATTATCGTATTGCGCTTGTTGAAACGGTTGATTATCGTTACGTCGATGACCAATGCTCGTGTATATTTTCGTGAGGCCACAGGGATAACTCGATATCGTGTTAATTCGTTTATGAATAATTGCGCTTGTACGAGTGTTTCTCTCTCCGCCTGTTGGAAAATCCAAAGTGTACGGTATTGCTGTATTCCCCCTCCTATGCAATTAGGTCGATAAACGCGGGATAAAATTGTCGAGTCGCCGTATTTTGCGTGCGAGATTTTCAATATTTCCGCTAAATGAACGGTGGCGGTTTCTTCTCGTTCGTGGAAAAAACGAAAACGGATTATAAAACGGGTTTCGCGATACTTTTGAATCTAATAGAAAGTTTTCGTAATTCTTAATCGAGTTTGCGAAACGATATGCAAAGGGAAGTCGAAGCTTGTCCAAGAAGCTTGATCGATTGACCCGTTGACAGCAACTCGATTTTCTTTCCCTTACGTCCACTTTGGAAAATTCCTCTTGGCGAGAGTTCTTCTCGAGCGCGAGAACCAGCCCCCTCCCCTCCCCTCTTGTCTTGGAACAAACTTTTCAACTTTCTTCCGAGCCACTTTTATCTTTTTTTTTCTTTTTTCTTTTTCTTCTGCGCGAGGGTGTGTTACTCGGACCGGTGTTTACCGCGTTTGACGATTAATCCGTGGATAGACAAGGAAAATTGGCGAAAAACGCGAATCTGTTCCGTATCCGACGAAGGATAAACATCGACAAACATGGCGTGAAATTGGAAAAAACGTGGCAGAGAAATGTTGGATCAAAGTGGGCCGAAGTTTCTTCCACCCAGTATTTTGCCGGGAAAAAACAATTTTAATTTTCCCAGTTTTAGAAGAAATCGTAAATATTGTAAAAAAAAAAAAAAAATCAAAACAGCTTTTTGAAAAAATTGATCGAGTTTTCGTTAAATTAAAAAATAAATTTAATTAAATTTGATCGGTTCTTTTCGGTACACCCTGTGTAGAAGCAATCGATCAGGCTGTTGACGGTGTTCGACGTTAAGGGCAAAAGGGGGATGAGAAATGGCTGGTAATAAAGTGCTAGACGAATCGGCATCGATTATAATCTCTCGCTATTGATAATTGCGAGACGAACGACGAACAAACGATCCGCTTTATCGTTTGTAAATTTGCTCGGCAAACCGGCGTAGGAAGAATGGAGGGTGGACAGAGGTTGAAGGGTGGGAAGGGCGAGAAGGGTAGAAGCTTTGAATTATTCTCTTCCAGTGGAAGTTTCAGCAATTTAGATTAAGATCAAAAGCCAATCGGATAATATCTCGAATCAACCCCCTGTTCCCCGGCTCTCTTGGGAACAACTTGTTATCGTATCTAGCTTACATTCGGCTTTCTTGAGGGAAATAATGCTTCTTTCAATCCGATTCTCGAAAAGAGAGGAAAAGAGACGCGTTCACAGACGATTCAACGAGGATTTGTTGTTGCGGATCGTTTCCCGATCCTATGAAAATTTTATCAAGAAACGTTATATAAACGCGAGAACAGCAGGGAATCGATGAGAGTGTCGATGATTTTTCTTCCTTACTTTTGCGTTTTCCCTTTCCTCCGAGAGAAAATTTCTCTCGTTAACGCTCGAATCCTATCCGTTACTCGTTAAAATATAATAACCACCTTTTCTCTTCTCTTATTTTATATCAAGGATCAAGGTTTCACACCCGATACCACGAATCGAATTAATAAATACCGAACCAACGATTAATTAAGAAAACATGGTTGGCCGAGAAACTAACCGTACCGCTCACGCTTAGGAACGATAATGCCCATTGATTTTCATGAGTGTAATCGGCTATATAAGTTGAACGCACTTAATGTAAATAAGAACAACGATAATGCCGAAGGCAGCGCCGTTCGGAGAAGATATAGAAGGGAAGTTATTAAGTCGGCAACTGCGAGAACTTGCTAATAAATATTCCGTGAGTGAAACAATTTATCCTCGTCTGATTTAAATAAAAAACGACGTCGCTCGCCGCTCAACGACTCTCATAATAGAGCTTTCATTCAGTGGCACGTTTTATCTACTTCCAATATTGATTTTCTGACATTGAAAAAGCAACTCTTTTTTTCTTCTCTCTCTCTTTCTTTCTTTCTTTCTTTCTTTTCTTTTTTTTTTTAACCGCAATACAATACTTCGCCACGATAAAAGAATGTATGTAGCACGGTTGCCGACAGAATGTGACTTTACGCAACGCGAAATTAATCCTTTATCTATCGCGTGCTCCAAAAAGAAGAAACGTTTCGTTGAAAATGGAATAATATTTCCATCGCATTTCAGTAAACATTTTATCTTCGCGACATCTTTCGTTCATCCGTTTCCAATTCGCGACGGAATTTTCTTTGTCTTCTCTCAAGTACAAACTATTACGTATTACGAGTCGTATCGTAGAGTTAATTCTTTTTTTCACGCCTCGATCGTCCTTCGTTATCTCTCTCGTGGAAAAAATTCGTATAGTTTACGCGAATGACTTTTTCACCGATTCCACCGAATTTCTTCTTCTTCTTTCGTTAAACTTTCATTATGAAGGCAATTATCGGCCTGACTGACTTTTTCCTATCTCGACCCGTTGGAATTTCCACGAAATTACCAGCAATGGACGACGAGCAATGGAAGATTTTATTCCCCCCCCCCGTATCGATTTTCGACGTTTCCTTTTCTTTTCTCTTCCTTCTTCCAAGGATTCTTCATTCTCTCTCTCTCTCTC